CATACAGATTCATGTCAAAAATACCGAACTATCCCTTTAAATCAGCACTACAAAAATTGATTGTATTTACAGTTTCATGTTGAAACTGCTCAAATTAAAGTAGCTTATTTATATAGCTCTGTTTTTTGTGTCTTTGTTTTGTATAAAATTTTTGGTTACGAGAATTTGAGATGGACTATAGTTGGAAAGTTCATATCCTGTGTATGTACACGTTTATTTTTATATATATATTTTGGCCGATATATATCAAATATCGGCCAATATATAGAATGTAATTTTTTTTAAGCGCTCAAAATCGATATTGGCCTTCAACATCGCATATTAGTCAGGCTCTAGTCATAACCACCACTTCAACAACGTAATGATATCCTATTTTACTGCTGAAACACTCAACTTTATGCATCAACAAAGTGAATGGCCATTTTACACCCCAATCGATTCAAGCAGTACCAGGTAGCCCAGAGAACTGCTATTGGTCAAAACTAACAGGCTTTATAAAAAGGTTAGATTCATACATCCTGGAAGAGAAAAAAATTTAATTGATAAATTAAAACAACACCTCAAACAAAAATATAGCTCAGGTGGCCATTTGTAAAATGAAAACATGAGAGAGTACTGCTCCAAATGTATACCATTTTTATTAAAAGCGCTTTTCTGTACTTCAAATCGTTGTTAGCTCATGATTTCTTTCTGAAAATAAAAATAGTAAAAAAAATGTGGTGCTTACCGTATCCCTTTGTAAAAACATCCCTGGCTGATTTTCCAAGGTCAACGTAGGTGGGAGGTACAGCCATTATCTAAAAAAAAAAAAGGAAAAAAAGAAAACAAACCTGACTTAGCATGGTGTTCCTAAAACAAGAAGCCATGGGTAGGTGAAGGTCACCTACAGAGTGTAAAGGTATCCTTTAATGGGACACACACTTGCCTACAAGCTTTTTCAATGAGTTTCCCTTAAAGCAACCATGCTTCTGCTTTCTTTAAGAGAGAACAGCTGTCAGTTTAACACCGTACTCACCCCCCACTCAAATAAAAGCTCATATTTCCAACTGGAAGAGGTTAGGAGAACAGAACACAATGAGGACCACAGACTTTAACACAAAGCCGTCTCTTTGGCAACTGTCTGAAACGCTTCCTATCAAGTTTGTGAGCAAGCCTTTGTCCCCTGCTTTCATGAGCACTCAGTTTTGCAAGATGTTTCATCATCAGGCTACACAGAGGAACAGTTTTTAATGCAGCAAATGTTAGTAAAGCGCTGGAGTTGCGCTGGTGCATTGATAACCTGCATAACATATTGACTGTAGATAACAGGGTACAATGGAACACTTGCTGAATAAAATAGGGACTCCTAGACTTTCAGATCGGGTCTCTTAATCAAAATTGGTTTTACTTTAATGCAACATGTAATAAATAGCTTCTAGGTTAGAGCGACATCTGTGCTTACCAATCAAAACAAGGCAAGAAATTAAGAAAATCCATTCCAAACAATCAAGAAGTGGAAATTCGATTGGTTAACATTAACTCCAATAACTGAGAGCAAATACATGGGAATACACTTCAAAAGAATAAATCATACATCCGCTTTTTGAAGTAACCATTAGTTACTCACCTCTAAACCAACTAGCAACTAGAAATTACCTTCTACATAAAGCAGTTCAGTACAAAATACCTTTTAAGCATATTTTTGCTGCTCCAACCCAAGCAATTTCAGACTTTTTGAAAGTTTTAAGATAGATTTGCAGATATAAAGGCAATTACATATAAAACGTATTATAGATTACTTTAATTTCTCAGCAGAAACAGCAAGTTCGCTCCAATACTGGTGCACATACTTTTACATTTCTGCCGTTTTGGACATTTAGTACCTGAATTTTTTCAGCTTGAAAATGGTTCAGCCTCTTATTAGACATTTTGTACAAATATCCCTAGGTGGCTGTTTATACCCGATGCATCTACCAAGGATTTTAAGCAATAATGTAAACAAAAAATTCATATCTAAATATATAAACCTAAGCTGTTAATGTAACAGCTATAATCCCTGAAACGTATAACTACAGGCTGACATCACATCTGACTACATTGCATCATCCTACCTAAACTTCTAACCTTTACCATCTACTGAACTTTCATGTTTTCTAGTTTGTCCAGAGCATCTCTTGAGAGATGATATAGAGCATATAGATCTCCCATTTATACCTTAGATAGCTCTTTTAAAAACAAACTTGTTTCAATGAAGACAACACTTAACCTTGAAAAATTTCCCTGAATGAAAGCAAAAACTGGTTTCTCATCAAAATCTATGGTAAATATAAAGTCAGTACTTCAAAATCTATTTTAGGGTTTTAAATCTGAACTATAGAGGAAAATTTTAAAGGTGTTAAAAACGTAGGATTAGGTCAGACTCGATGAATCTCGCCTCCAGAGTGTTAAAGGGGGCCTTTAAAAGGTAAATAGATGGTAAAGTAAGAGTTAAATATGATTGAAAGAGCAAATAAATGGCGTATTAGCACATAGAAGTGAATTCCTTAACTTTTACCCATTCACTCTTAACCTAAACTAAAGCAGTAAAAACTGTAATGTTAAAAGAAAAATACATGTTTTATTAATAGGATCTCAGTAGAAACTGAATGACGGGGACGAGAAGGTTATCACGCCAGCATCCTCATGCCCTCGCATGCTAACAGGTTAGCATTAGCTGACAGTCAAGGTGGTTAGATGGTGAAAGGCACTGCGGTAGGAGCGTAATGACCCGGTCTGTGAAACATACAGCACTTAACGTGACGAGACAGTCAATTTGTAAAGAACATTAACTTTGTTCCTTTCTAAGAACCAGTGCGACTGCTGATAACTTTTCCATTCAAATGACCGCATCACAAGATAGCAGCCCAAGCTAGCAGCAGGTGATAGCTACATAACAGCAGCAGGCCTGTCTAATTTTTAGGTTTCTCAATGGAGTTTTACAGAATATGCAATGGGGATGGGTACCGCTGCGATTCCTGTGGAGACTAATGTTCGTCACGGACCCGTGAAATAAACATAAACCTTGTAGTGTTTCATTTTTTTCTGAAAGATGTAGAACTTACCTCTATGAGTTCTTGTCCAAGGCGAGAAGGAGCCTGTCAGCCGCACAGAGGGAGGAGATAGGAGGGAGGTGGATGGCGTCACGTACTACGTCAGAGCCCATCTTCTACAAAGATTGAGTATTCAGTCACACTGCGAAATGCTTCACTCCGTTTTAGATTGTCAGCTAATGAAGGGAAGTATGCGTTTAACCAGAATAATATTACTCTGGCTAAAACTGTCATGGGGCTTGGTAGGTTGTTATAATTAATAATAATAATAATAATAATAATAATAATAATAAT